GCAGGAACAACTGCCCCCGCCATTGCCGCCGCAGATGTCCAAGCCGATGGCCCACATCCGGGGAGCCAATGGGAGTGCCATCAAGACGCACCCCAACCGGAACTCCAATCCTGTCAGCTCGGGCCACTCGGCCCTGTTCCCCCACGGCACTGCTGGCGGCATGCCCATGATGGGCTACCCCAGGCACTCGCTGTACGGAGGAGCTCTGTCTCCGGAGGAAACCAGCCAGAAGCCGTTGCAGCGAAATGCCCCGCTGATGGGCGCCAATGCCCGGGTGAAGATGCCTTCGCAGGAGCGCTACGGATCCCGTCCGCACAGCAACCATCGGCTCTCCCTGAACATCACGCCCAGTGGGGACTTCTATCAGCCCAAGACGAGTGGCCAGCAGGCCCAGCAGCAGGTGATGAACGCCTCCTCGGCCTCAGCTGGAGGCCTGGAGGGTGGAGGCGTGACAGGACCCGCAGCCGGAGAGTTTCCAGTGCGCAAGCAGCAGGTTTTCGATGTCTTCCATCCGCCGCCGCTGCCCAAAACGAGTTCCGGATCCAATCCCAATGCCGTTTTCATGCCCCTGAATCCGACGCGGTCGAACCACCCCGCGGATGTGGCCTCCCTCAAGTCGCAGAACTCCATCGAGTCCATACTGTCGGCCAAGAGTCCGGGGATCAGCAGCGACTACGGGATATACGGCAAGCGTTATGTGCCCATGCCGCAGGCGGTGAGGCATGTGCCGAAGTACCCGAGTGACAGCGAGAGCATCGGCTCCGGCATACAGGGCGGCTACGGCGGCGTGATGCAATCCACCCACATGCCGGGCAACCGGCATACCCAGCTTTTTCCGACCTTCGCACCCGGGGTGAGGAGCAACCGGCGCTCCAGTCCCCTGACCCTACCTTCGCCGCCGCCCCAGCAAATGCAGCAACCGATGCCGCCAGTGGGCATTCCAAACGACAGCGTGGGCATACCCACCGACCTGGACTACCATCCGCAGCTACCGCATCCGCATCCCCATCCGCATGCAGCCTACCTGGACTACAACCACGCTCCCTACCCCTACATGGGCGGAGTAGTGGGAGGAACTGTGTCCGGGGTGCCGGGTGGGATCTACGAGGGGGGCACCTTTCCGCGCAAGAAGGACAACCAGCGCCTCAGGATTCCCTCGAATCCCAGCGTGGCCAGCAAGAGCAGCAGCATGGTGAAGAACAGCTCCGGCAGCATTGACCACCATTATGTGACCAGCGCGACGCCGGCCTCGGCGGGATCCATGTCTGCCTCGTCCTCCGACCGGGCACCCATGTCCCTGATGAGCTCCAGCATGCACACCAGCTATGGAGGGACTGTGGCCGGAGGCAATGGAACCGGATCGGCAGTGGGTGTGTCGGGAGGAGGCGGTGGGGGCGGCAGTGGTCGAGGATCACCCATGCCCCAGGTTCATGTAGAGGTGCTGAGCCACGGCGGCGGAGGCAGTGGCAAGCGCAGCTCCAATGTGCCCGCGGATTTTCTGTGCCCCGGAGACCTTAGAAGAGTCACCATCGACAAGCGCGACAAGTCGCTCGGTATCACCATACAGTGCAACAACAACGGCGGCGGAATCTTTGTTGCCACCGTCGCCGACAAAAGCACCGCGATGCGTGCCGGTCTCCAGGTGGGCGATCAACTCTTGGAAGTTTGCGGCATTAATATGCGAGCGGCAACGCAGGAGATAGCAGCCAATGTGCTGCGACAGTGCGGCGATTCCTTCACCATGCTTGTCCAATATAATCCGGAGAGTAAGTACCTCTCGGCCTTAATCCTGTCCAGAAATAATTGTTCTTCATTTTGATTCCAGAATTCCCTTCAATGGAGTACGAGGGAGTTCACAATCTGGAACCAGAATCTCCCGTCAACCATTCGGGCTCTCCCACACCGCGCAACTCGCCACGTCCTCCGACGCGGAACTCCATATTCCCCTTGCCCCTGCAGCCCGTCCAGCCTCCATCGACGAGGCTAGGAGTGAGGGCTCCACTCTCCCGTCAGTCCATCAAGGATCAGAGCTTCACCGACAGTCTGGAGAACCAGTCGGACATAAGCAGCAGCCAGGACATGCCCTCCTCAGCGGCCACCACCACAACGACAACGGCATCCGCAACGTCAACGGTTTACGATGAGGAGCCGAAGCCCGCCATGCCGTTGCCACTGCCGCTGCCACCGCCGCCCACCTCCGTGCCGGCAGAGAGTACGTAGCCACACCAAACCCACTACTCCAATCCTCTGCACCCAATACTAACCACTGGCCCTTGGGCTAGTCACTAAACCCCATTCCTTGTGTCAATACCCATCCACCGTGAAGCAGTGCCGCTGTGTAAGGTAGAGATCTATCCCCACTAACAAGACGTACATCCCTCACTGCCTAAACCCGTGACTACATTATCGAATCCTTTCTTCAGCTCTGAGGTATGTTACTCTGCACATGGACAAGTCCAAGAACCTGGGCATCAAGCTTTTCGGTGGCAATAAAGTGGGCATCTATGTGCACGACGTGGCACCCGGTTCCCCATCCGATCACGCCGGAATTCGCAAGGGAGACCAAATACTGGAGTACAATGGTGTAGACCTGAGCGGAGTGACCGCCGAACAAGCCGCCAACGAGATCTCCAAGCTGACGGACACGGTCACCATGCTGGTGCAGAACAAGTTACACAGTAAGGGAATCAAGGATTATGTCCAGAGTGGCTATTAACCAAATATGTACTTGCAGCCCTCAAGCAAATCAAGGATGAGCCCGGGGACTCGTTCTATATACGCGTGGGGTTTGATCGCACTGGTGAGCTGAACGAGGACGACTTGCGGTTCGTCAAGGACGAGGTGCTCTATGTGGACAATACGGTTTTTAACGGAACCTTTGGCTTTTGGCGAGCCTGGAAGCTGGATGCCATGGGCCATCGCAAGGAGTGCGGCATCATTCCCAGCCAAATGAAGTAAGGGAGCTTAGTACCTTAGTAGTATCTTTATAACTAATTCGTGTTCTAGGGTGGAGGAAGAGCTGCGCTCGGGTGAGGTTGTGGACTGCGATACGGGAACCGCCAGACGTGGCAGCACTTCGGCCCGCAGATCGTTTTTTCGTCGCAAGAAGAACCAGCGAAGCTCGTCCCGCGACTCCACGGAGATTGCCAGCTTCAGCAATACACAGCTCAGCTTCTTTCCAGACCTAGGTCTTCTCAACGATGATGGCGGAGCTCTAAGCTACCAGCGCGTCGAGTTGCTAGACTGTGAGTTCCATCTTCTGGCTTGGAATGAGCTATCTAACAATATTATATATTCCAGCACCCATACGAAGGCCTGTTCTGATCATTGGTCCTCTATCGGAATGCGTCATGGACCGCCTGACCATTGACTTTTGTAATCTGTTCAAGTTGTGCGAGGTGACCGCCATGGATTGCTCCCAAGAGGCCATGGAGGAGAGCCTGAAGGAAAACATATTCGTGGACTACCGAAGGCGGGGCAACAAGTTTGAGTGCACCACCGTGGAGGCCATCAGCAATGCCTGCAAAAATGTATATATCTAGGATATATTTCATAGAAGGACCTATATAACTCTTGATCTTTGCAGGATCGCCGTCACTGTATCTTGGATGTATCCATATCCGCTGTGGAGCGTTTGCAGCGCTTGCAAATCTATCCAATTGTTCTGCTGTTGCGCTTTAAGTCGGCCAAGCAGATTCGAGAGATACGCGACTTTGGCACCGACAAGATCTCCGCCAAGGCGGCCAAGGAGATGTACGAGAGGGCCATGAAGCTGGAGACAGACTACAAACAGTACATATCTGGTATGGGTCATTAGATTCCTCTTTTTTTATAAATCTATTAATTTTCGTATCTATTTCAGCCGTTATACCCGGTGTTAGCATCAAGCACATGTGCACCCAAATCAAAGACGCCGTCGACAAGGAGCAGGACAAGCTGCTCTGGGTGCCCGTTTCGATTGCCTGATCCGAGGAGCTGTAGAAGCTTCCTAGTTTTAGTAATTAGCACACAATGCGACACTCACTTTTAGTATTTTTTCAACGCGCATCAATAGTATCAAGTTTCGTATTCGTTTTGTTAAACGCAGAGTATTCAATGGTCGTCACTTGCTGGCATTATGCCTGCAGTTGGGGCGCGGTATTTCTACCTGTTTCTTGTCTCTGTCACCCTATTTATGTCCGTAGTTATAGTCTATTTTTGTCCGATCCGGCATCAAAGTTCTGCATAAATTTATATATATCCATATATATGCTATCTGAAACTGTAAGCAGCGTGCTAAGCCGAAAGTCTGTTTATATGCAATTTATTATTATGTATTTCTAAGTACATACTACTTCTTTATATTTTTTTTAATTTACCTAAACGATTGAGGAATAAACTGGTGGGCTATCACTGAGGAAACAAGGACACTGCTTACTTTGCAACAATAAAAGTTTTATTCGGTAGAGTGATTGACAAACAAAAGCTATCACTAGCCTTATGTGGTAATGTTGAAACTGGTTAAACTGGAATGAAATGCCTGGAAAATGCCTTTAAATCGCAAAATCGCAAATATAAACTACCCTTTTCTACGCATAAATACAATTCATAAATCTAATTTATCAAAGTAACCTTGTATGCATTAAAGATAAAACAATAATATATATCAACGTATTAAATACATTAAACTCTATTTTATACATAAATGTAAGCATTCTAAATATACAGACTACAACTACATATAATCGCATACATTTTTGCAATAAATATTTTTTCAAAAAAAACCACCCAACCAGTCTGATTGTTTGATGGGATTTGGGTTGAATAATGTTATGGCCACTTTAATAATTGTTTTAAAATTAAGTTTCGATTAAATGAATTAACTAAGTAAATACCATTGACACAGCTTGGGGGCTGCGATGAGTTCGCCAGTATTTCAAGGTACATTCGCTCTTCAACATTTCGGGCATTGTGTCGGCCTATATTTACATTAACACAACGCCTTTTTTAATAACTAAAAACTAAAAACTAAAAAAAAAAGATTAAATAAGCTTTTAGAAAATATTGTTCTGTTTTAGACTAGAAGACAGATGAGAGATGTGATTGAAGAAAGTGTCTGTAGCTTAACTACTATTTCTGCTATTTTACTGTACAATCGATTAAAATTTTTAAGTATTAACCCTCCAAGAAATCAAACTCGTCCCGGGGGCGATACCACTCCTCGGTGGCATGCTCGTAGATGGCTTTTTGGACCTCGGCCTCGGCTGCCTCAATCGGATCGGATCTGGGCGCATCGAAGCTGCTGTCGGATCGTGGACTCCTCGAGGTGGCCCGGAACTCCATTGGGATGTTGTAGCACTTGCAGATGCAGCTGGACGGGAAGCGGAACCAGTCGGAGAAGATGCCACGGCACTCGTTGTGCGGATCGTAGGCCAGGAGTCGGTGGAGCCGGTACTGCTGCTCACAACGGCAGCCATCCCGGCAGAACATTTGCTTGAACTCGTGGGTGCACTTCTCCCAGTGGACGTACTGTTCAAAGGGATAAAGGTTGAGAAGGGCTAGGACCTCCCCGCGGGTATTGTTGGCCCAAAAAGGAGCCACTACCTCGTCCTTGACGGGGCAGGCATTTCTGTAAAAGGATGAAGTTTTGTTATTTTTATGAAATCTTAAAGAAATGTTTATACTTACACTCCCCGCAGGTTGCTTGCCACAGCGACTGGTTCCTGTTTCATGGCATCTTGGAATAGTTGACCTTCTCGCAGCAGTCCCGGCTTGGACCCTCCTCCCCCTACAGATTGGGCAGCTCCAACCGAAGCCGGCGCTGGCACTGTGGTGCTACTGGTGGTCAATGGCCTGCGCAGCTTTTCGACACTGAACTGTCCAGAAGAGAACAGCGAGGCAAAGGTCACCGGAGTAGTGAAGGATCCTGGCGGTGATGGGGAGGACTTGGTCACATTTCGACGGCTCAGCAAGGTGCCTGTGGTTGGGGGTGGTGCTGCAGTTGTGGTTGCCGCTTTGGGAGTGGCCACCGTTGTGGATGCTTCTGCTGGTTTTCTTTTTCTTAAGGGAAGATTGGTGGAGCCCTTCGAAGTGGGTTTCAGGGGAGCAGCAGTGGTGGGTTCTTGTGATGGTTTCACCTCCAAGCTAAGATTCCTTAGCCCCAACTGTGGTGATTCAATGATTTCTATGTTTCCGCCCACCGACGATGAAGGTGCTCCAGTCGTAGTGGTGCTAGCTGTTGAAGGAGCCGGAGACGGCACCACCTCATAGACACTATTAGATTCCAGACTGGGCTGGATCTCCACTATTTCCGGCTCTATTTCAGCTTCTTTTGAAGAAGGTGCTGGAGCACTAGTGGTGCTAGATGTGGAATTATTCTCAGGAGTTGTTGAAGACTCAGACTGTGCTTTGTCTGTGGTGGAGCTGGTGGTGATGGGAGCTGCTGTTGTGGTGGTTGCTTTGGTAGTTGTGGTAGTACTGCTGGTACTGGTGGAAACCGGACGAAAATGTGGCTCCATTAGCACATCGTTTCCCTTGAAGCTACCGAAATCCTCACGATCACGATCGCGTTCCCTGCCATGCATCAGATACTTGGCACTACGCCGTCCTCCATCCTTGCTGTATCTCTCCGCTGTCTCCTCCATGTCGTCCTCGTCCACCTCGTTGTTCTGGATCTCATCCCGCAGAATGGAAATGTGCCTCACATCTCCATACATTCGCTTCATCAATCCCTGGTTTTCGTGCACGAATCTCCGGACGGCATGCCAGGGATAAGCTGCTCCAGGCAGGTGACAAAATGCCTGCTTCCCAAGATCACAGGGAATGGAAGCCAGCATCTGGGCTCGACCGCGGCGGGACATCTTGCCATTCGGACTGCACGAATTGGCCGAGTCGAAGCCGAATCCGGCCGTGGCCTCCGGTAGTATTACCATCATGATCAGTAGCAGGCATCGCATTGCATCGATCTGGGAATATCAAATGATTTTAAAACAATTAGTAATTAATTTTAAAACTATATATATCTATAAAAAAATCTATCTGAAAACTTAAAAGTAAAAGATGCGATGGAAAAAAGGAAATCTCAGGCCCGGCAACGATGATAACCATGGCATGGCTTGACGCCCAAATCTCTTTTTTTCCTCAAGGGGGAATCAAGTGGGGCTCAATGCACCTGGATGGGATAAAAAGGCCGGGCGACTTCGGCTCTCACTCGACCAAACAAATTGCCAGAGACCCCGGACTGGCAGCCGGTAGAAAATCAAATTTTACTTTCACGCAAAGCCAACTGGACAATCACAAGTCATAAAGATGATCGATGTGCATTTGCATGCCACCTCCAGACTGCACCCCGAGTGAGAGAATGGCCGCAATTGCATAGCCGCTAATACACCATAAAAATTCCAAAGATACTTTAACATTTCAAAAGAAATAATATCTAGAATCTAAAAACGAAAATTCTTCAAAAAAAATATTAAAATTTAGATATTATCCTGATTAACACACTTATTTTCCCTCAGTGCATCATCAGAAACACCACACCAGACTAGATGCCGACCAAGCCGAGTAGACCGGCAATGGACAGACGGACAGCGGACAGCTGGGAGCTGGTAGCCAGTAAGTGGACAACTGGGCACTGGCAGCCGGCAAAGTGAAATGCAAAGAGTAATCAAAAGCGAAATGGGTTAGCCAAGTAAAAGTAAATTGTGGCGCTTTTGGAAAAGCCTCTCCAAGAGGCCTCTCCCCATCCCGTCTGCCCAGCCCCGACCGGCAAAAGGGCCCCGTCAACTTTCCTTTTCGGTTGCACAATTGCCGGCCTGGACCCAATAGGGTCTCGCCCTGCCCGTCGCTTCTCTTTTTTTTTTTTATATATCTTTGGGTTTCTTGGCAACCGGTTCGCTTGGCCAAAATTGACATGCATTCGGCATTCAGTTATCGCCCATCACAAATGGTATACCATATAGTATATATATATGGCGAACACATATCGATCGCGGGTGATTCACCCTCTGCGAGTGAAAAGAAAGTGATCGGCACCGGCTCCGGTTCCCTTGTGGGCTCTCTGCTGGCGGATGTGTGTCCAAAATGTGAACTCGTTCAAGACGATTGGCCATGCGATTAGGTAATAGACATCTCTGGCCATCTGCGACTTTGGAGCTCGGGAAAATTACAGTCGGATTTGCATACATAAACAAGGTCAGTTTGTAAATAGTTTTGTAATGTTTTTTCCCAGAAATTTCTGCAGATTATATTGGTAAGATATCAAAGAAATTGTATTTAAATATAAGAAAGTTTTCACATCAAGCAGATGACTATCAAAAAGAAATATTTAATATCAATGACAGTGTGGAATTTGTTCTTTCAAAAGCATTCCCATTTCCATTCCCATTCCCAGACGCGGTAATAATCCCTTATTCTTCGATTGGGCCAAGTACTTCATTCAAGAGATCTACACATCACCCAAAGATCTGGCAATTACGAGAAGAAAGTGAACGAGGATGAGACCGCAACTTGGGTGCGAAACAAATAGATCTCTGCGAACTAATTTGTGTTGAAAATCAAATCAGGTCAGACCGCAAGAGAAGAGACGCCTGAAATGGAAAGCAGAATTACTTTCGCTTTGTTCGGCGCAAAAAAAAAAAACATAAATAAATAATAGGTGGCTGGCATTAGTGTCGATTGCCATGTGCAGCAAGACAATTAAGCCGAATCTCATTTATTAACATTGTCATATTTCTTGGAAGCCAAGGTGCCACAGGGAAATTGGAGCAAATGCTGCTGTCAGCGTCCCAACTCGGCGAAACAAATCAATATGTCCAATCAGCCGTGAGAGCTTCCCATTGCTGTGGATAGTGCTGACGACTTGGCTCTTTTATAGATTTTGATTTAATATTTTATACAAATTATTTTAGAACTTAAGCTACTTAAACAACAATTTCAAGCTTATATTCTGAAATTAACAAAAAATAAATATTAAAAAGAAATACTTAAAAGTTGGCACCTCTTTTGTGGTTACTAGATGGTTGGATGCAGTGCCGCCGATTCTGCGGTGCAGTGCAAATGGGCATTAAGTCAACTCGCATCGAGGAAGACATTTGTCAATCGCAGACGATGCCGAGCTGTCGCCAGAGAAACGTATTGCAACACTTTAATGTGTCAGCGACTTTCTACGAAAACCCAGTCTTTTCGAACTAGGAGAAGGCGGTGGAGGAGGAGGCGGTGGGACACCAGGAGAACTAGGCAATAGGGGGAGAGGGGGCTACGGAGAGACGTTCCAGTCTATGTCTTCATTTCCCAAATACAATGTTGCCGTCGTCCATCTGCAACTCCATACTCCAAGCTCCATGATGGTTGATGGTGCCGCCGAGTGTGCGGCGGTTAGAATGAATTATTTATAAATTCAATTGGCTTTGGAAATGAAGTTGATGTTACACTTAACCAAATTTGGCTTTGCCGCTAATGCTGATGTCTCTGATGCTGATGCTGGCTGATGTTCTTTGTTGTTTGTCGTTTCTGCTAATTGCCAGACGACCAGCTGGCGTCCAATGGTGAAATTTTCACAACCAAAACAAAAGACTCAGGCGACAAACTTGACTGGCGGTTGCAATCTCTTCATTTCCATTCCCATCGCCTGCCATGGCGACTTCTGCCAGCCATTGAATGCATATTCATGGCAAAATGGTTAATTAAACGAAAAAAAAAAACGAAAATTTCACTGATTGGCCACCACCGCCGGAAAAGGCCACCACTTCCACGAACTTCTTTCCCGATTTGGCAAGTCGATATTTTTGGTGCTACCGTTTCGCTTTCGGTTTGGATTTTTGGGCTTGGACTTGGACTTGGTCTTGGGCTTGGGCCAAATCCAAGCATGCCGGCCGCAGTGCTCTCGAAAGAAAGTGAAACTTTTTAGTTTTAGTCGGTTAACCTCTCTCTGTCGCTCTCTCTCTACCCCCATCTCTTTCTCGTTTTTTTTCCGGTGGGGACCCGACCGGCAACAGCAAACACAGCGGAAACTTTGAGCATTTTCGTTGTCGGTTATGGCTTTATGATTGCGTAGTCATGCGTTAACAAAAAAAAACAAAATACCAAGCTGTTAATATGCATAAAACGCTTAACCCTTAGCGTTTATCGATTTCAACACATTTCGAGAAATGGGCAAGACGTGTGACCATCTTTTGATTGCGTTTTCATTTTCATCAATGGTCGGGTCTCGGGCCCCAGGGGACTGATATGAGAAGTTTATTGATTTTGATTGATTTGTTAGTTTTTGATTTGATTTAAAGGGTTTAGTTTTGACTACTTATTTCTGGAAATTCAAGCTTTATTATTTTATTTTCTGAATTTCTCTCGACTTTTGTCATTTGTTTTTAACACCTTTCTTATGCAAGGCAATCCCCTAAATCTATATGGCTTTCAGTAAAAAAAAATCAATATACTTTTAAGGCTGTTACACAAGCCCACTTACCGTTATTAGTTTTGTGATATTGGATCGCCTATCCATTTGGGTGCGCTTCATTGTTTACTTTCACTCGATTGACACTCACGAAATGCCAAATGCAAAATAAGTGGCAAATAGAAATCTGTCAAAGGATTTGGCAATGTTTCACCTGGGTGACGGTGACGGTGACGGTGACAGCCTAACGCAGATCTTACACTTGTCCCACACACACTCTCACGACGCTCACAGGGCTGTGAAAATTACTGAAGAAGTCCATATTTCCACAATACTGCAAGTCGTATGCAGTTTTTTTTTTGTTTTTTCAACACCGACCTTTTGGGGTCCCGCTTAGGTTTTTCTTTGTTTTTTTTTTTTCGATTTTTTTGTCGGTTGCTATTTTTGTTGTTGTTGTATTTTTTGTGGGGCTTTTCCCAATGCACTGAAATTGAGGGAAATTCGATGGGAAGTCTGAGGAAAACCAAAAATCACGTTCACACGCCTCGCACTCACGATAGCAACTGCGCCGCCAGCAGCCAGAAGCGGCGGCTCGAGCTCCAAGCTCCCAGTCCCAGACAGCGGAGCACAACTCTCTTTCTTTTCTTTGCCGCCAACAATACACTTGGAAAAATACTTGGAAAAAAGGAAAAGAAAAATACTTTTATTGAATATTAGATTTTGTTTTAGATTTTATTTCTATTTAATATTTTTTTATGTTATCTATACAAATTTGAAATTAGTTTTATTGTTAGTTTTTCTTTGAGTGCAAAAAGTTGGAGAAAGAGCGTCTTTTGGATCATCGATGGCTCTCTGCTTGGAGCCAGCGAAAACGCTTTTTTTTGACGCTTCGGTTTGCTTTTGTTTTTGCTTTTTGGTTTGCTTTTGCAGGAAAACTTTTTCTTATTTATTATTCGTCGACAAACGCTGAAAAACGACCCAACGCAAAAAAAAAAAGCATAGAGTCGCGAGCCCCAACAAGAAAAAGCGCCACACGCAACGCCGGAGCCGAGCTTGGAGCCGAAGCCGATACCGATACCAAGCCGAAGCCGGCCAGAAACAACAACTGCAGGAGTGAAGAGTGCGTCGCGGCGGCTTAGTAGGTCAGTAGTGGACCTGAACATTTGTTGTTGTTTGGGTTTTGTTTTGATTCATTTGGCGCTGTCGTTGTTGCAAGAGGTTTTTGTTGTTTTTACTTTTTTTTCTTTCCTCGCTGCGGAGGATTAGACGATGGACAGTGGAGCTTTCATAAATGGGGATAAGGGTTTTTTTTTTTAAATAATAATAAAAATAACTATTATATCTTAAATGCTCTTATATATTGATAACAAAAATACCTTTATTTCTTTAAATATTAGTTTATTTCTGTTCTTTAATATTGGTTTTTGGCACTAATTGCATATTAATTTATTTAAGAATCTTTATGCCCTCTAAAATCTTAAGAAACTTCTACTTTTTATCACTAACTTTCTTTAAATGGCTCACTGTAAGTTTCTTGTAGAGTGGAGCTTGTTTTTGGCGCGCATCTTCCTACCTTGATTGCGAGGTTGCACTTGGCGAGGGTCGATTCTAGAATAGGCCTTAAAACTAAAATTTGTTAGAAAAATTTCGAACACAAAAACCTCTAAATGCAGTCTTTTTCACTTTTCAACTTAAAGAAGTAAAAATTACCCCACAATTTTCCTATTCAGCGAGTGCTAATTTTACTTAATGAAGGTATCCAGTCCCCAATCCTCAAAACAAAAGTCCACTTTTACTTTAAGACATATTTTACTATCCACCCTCGTCTACGCCAATTGGCCAGAACTGTTGAAAGAGGCCTATTGGCCGGGCTAACCGCGGCTTAATTATCGTTGTGTGTTTATTATGTCCTCGCCCGCCCCTCGGTCTCGCCCACCGCCCACAATTGCCCCATCTCCGCCTACCAGGCACGACAAAAACAATATTGTCGGGTTACCGCAGTTCCTCATCCTCTGGCTTCGTTCCCATTGAGTAAGTATTGCGCCACCAGGCGGAGTAACTGGGATCAGGGGGTGTGTAGAGGTCTTGGGGGCCGGCTGGGATCAGAGGGAGTAAACAGGGTTCGGGACCCGCCATAGAGTGGGTGGTCCCCGTTCCTCTCTTCGCCAAAAAACAGGTTTCCTTTCGTGGAGTTTGTCAAATAAATTCAGCTGCGAAAATTGTGCAATCGAAGCATTAAGAAAACCTTTAGCATCAGGCTTTAAAAATAATTTTGTAAATTATTTAAATAAATATGTTTGTTTTTTTTTATCCATTTAGAGTTTTACAAGTCACCTGACATCTTAAATACTTCCTTATTAAATAATATTTTCTCTTTTCATTTAAAATATTTACACTTTTTATTATAAGGCTCGAATTCCGCGACCTATTTATTATAAATATCCAATTTTCTTATATGTATTAATTTAAGTGCTTATAATCTGCCAGGTATTATTATTTAGGGCAAAAGCAAGTGAAAGTGCAAAAATTATACCTTGTGGTTGCGGTTTCTTCTGAAAAGCAGGTTCCCGGCAGTTGGGTGTCTTAATCGAGGAGCAGACCACTTTTAAAGGTTTACAAACAAGAAAAATGCCATCTCGTTTGTTTACTTTTTTAAACAGAAAATTAATTATTAAAAATAAAGTGCTGGGTGATCCACCTGGAGCACCTGCTCCTGAGGATATGCAATGAATTTTATATATTAAATTATTTTCAAAATAACCAAAGCCTACAGGTAGACTACAAATATTATAGAAAAATTATGTTCTTGAAGATTATAACTTTTAAAAAACAATCTTTGAATTAAAATTTAATAAAATTTTATTTGATAATTAAGTTTATTTCAGAAATACACTTGCAAGTTCCTAGCTCTCTACAATTATGGTTTAACCATTTAAATTTAATGGGTATTCAATGAAAATAAAAAATTAAAATATTTGTTCAATTTTAAGATGGCTCCTAGCTCCTTCCCAACTCAGAATTCCTCAATCCATCGAGCTATTATTGCCGACTCCTTGTTGCGGGCATCACGAACTGAAGGCGGATCGGCAGGATCGCTGCGTCGCAGATCAAGATGATGAGCACCTTCCGGCAGGATAATTATATGGATTTTGTCATTTGGCGCCTGCAAAACGCCACCGCCGCTCCAGGGATCTAGCAGGCCGTTGCTGAAAATGATGTTGGTGGCGGCATCGATATTCTTACCGCCATAGCGCAGAATAATGTCGTAGGGCTTGGGCGTGAGGCGGTAATCCTTGTAGCATTTCTCGGAGAATTCGTTAAAGTTCCAGGTGGACGGACGGAACATCGTCTCTGTGCCGTTGGAGCAGAAAGGCATAACCATCTGGTTGCAGGTTTGGATGTTCCAGCCAGACTCATCGGCATTCGAGGCGGCGGATAAGTCCAGACACTTGGTGGTTCCCGTGAAATTGGTGTACACCGCCAAGGCACTGGCCATGGTGTGCAGCAAATCAGCATCGGTGGTGTGCAGATCCTTCAAATAGAAACACACCTGCCTCACGGGAAAGGCCGGCAATGGAGCCAGGAAACTGCTGTTGTAGGGGTAGTTGACCATGGCCAGATTGGAGTAGATTTCCTCCACATAATCCAGGAACTTCTTCAGATCCGCGTCGTTCTTTATAGGAGAGCACAAGTTGAAGGCATCGGAGATTTGCTTCTTTCCCGCTTCAGTTCCTCCCAGGGTCTCGAAGACTCGCCACGACTTGGCAATGTTCACCGTACAGTTGGAATTGTAGGCATTCTCAAAAACAGATGTCACAATCCGGTTGAAAATATCGCAGTCAGTGATCCCGGGGAACTGTAGAATTGGAGCCGAGGCAGCCAAAGCTCCGATCGCCAGATGCGGATACTTCATGCGGAACCAGGCGGCCAACATGCCGCCGTAAGACCCGCCAAAGGTTACCACCGGCCTCTCGGTTCCGTTGCGCAGGAAGGTGATCAACATGGCGTAATCCTCCAGGGTCTGCTCCACCGTGAAGTAGGCCAAGTGCTCCGGCATGCTGGTGTTAAAAGTGGATTTCCCGAAGGGTAGGGACTTTCCATAGTACCGGTGCTCGGCGAAGATCACCAAGGCATGCTTCCGCTCCGCCTCCTCCCACAGGAATCCGGTATTCTGAGCGAAGAGTTCAATGTCCCCCTCGTTTCCGGTGTAGAATAAAATCGGAGTGCGGGCGTTGCTCTTGTCCCTCACAAACGAGTCGTTGTACAGATACCGGATGCTGAAGGTGGCATTGCTCAGGAAACTGAAGTGATCCAACGGCACCACGAACTCCTTGATCAGGTATTGGTACTTCTCCTCCGACTTGGTGCCCCCAATTAGGAGGATTACGGTGAAGATTGCCAAAGATAATCGAAGCTGAATTTCTCCCATGTTGACGGTGATCAGATGACCAGATGACGCACAGTAGGCGACTAAAAAACACTATACTCCCCGTTTGTTATCTCTAAGCCGGGCTTTATACAATATATTCTTCCGACAATGAAGTGTTACCAGGTACCGTTACCGCAGACACCTAGCTTTACAGTTTCGATAAAAAGAGCGGCGGCGGCGGCAAGATTTAAATATAAATCGATCAGCGGTATCGAAAGTTAAAACCATAATCTTTTGTCTGTATTTTTAGTTTAGAGCTAAGATATTTATGTAAAAGATTTTAATTTTATATAGTTTCAAACTTTTCTTTAAAGAAGATAAAATTTAATAAAAAGCATCCACAGCATCAAGGCTAACATAAAACTAAATTTAATAAAGTATTGAATGACAATTAGCTTTTTTACAATACATAGCTGCAATTTATTTTAGTTTTCATAAGATTTTGTTATACTATTTTGAAACTTCGCGCCAAATCTGTCAAAGTAGCTGTGAGTTGATACCAGGAGATGGCGCTTCGGATGCCCTTGCCTTCCGCTTAGAGAGCGCTTTGTGAAAAACGGCTACAGCTTTTTAACGCTAGATGGCTTTAATCGCTGGTATTACCGCTAGTATATTTAATTTTAAAAAATTAAATATTATCCTATTAAATCATTTGATAATTTCAATCATTTTAACTCTAAAATCTTTGGGGTATTTAATAACATTGGGAGGAATATCAGGAACGACAACAGTATTTTGTTTAAGTAACTTTTTATCCAACAAACTCAAAGTTTTGAATAATAGTTTAAAATTATTATAAATAGAAATATACAACAGCTGGCACAATTTTATTATTTCGTACTGATCGCTATGTATTTGAAGTTATCATAACCATTTGAGGCGTTCCGATTGATTGCTTTCTTTTAGGTACCCCGCCAGGTTATAGGCCTCGTCTTTTTTGCAGTCGGGAATTATTCAAGTGTATCCAAGACAAAATATTGGGGCAACATAATTGGCATATATGTAGTACTCGTAATCTTCCACATAGGAAACTACATGTACATAGGCTTGTGGCTTGGACGTTAAATTCATTGGGCTTCAAATCAGTTTCAAGTTTGCGATCGACTGACATGCAATGGCAGCATATTTTCCCGAAAATGTTTCAAAAATATTACGCTTTGATTTACCACAGTTTAGTGTAATATGTTGTGTAAATAATTCCAATTTAAAATTGCATAGTTTGGTACAAAATAAATCACTTTATTCGGTCTCGTGAGCCTCGTGCATAAATTAATAAACCAAAATGTAATTTCGTTTTTCGCGTGTGTATTGATATATAAATTATCATAAAAACCGCACAAAATGGAATTGTTTTGGAGAGCGGATGGTTACATGGTGGTGGAAGGCGGTTCTGGTGGCGAAACCGAATCGCAGATGTCAAGGCGGGCACAGCGGAAACGGAAACAAAGCAGCATCATCGAGAATTCCAGGCCCGGCAATGGGGTCAACCCGATTTGGGTTTTCGTCGCGTCGGTCAGTAGTGTCATCTAAAATATCCATCACTATTATCAGCCCCATCGTCCGATTCGTGGATTCGTAGGTTGGATTATTTTCGATTTTGTCCGATGGTTCGCCTAATTGATTTCATAATTTTTTCTATTGTTTTGTGTGTTAATGTCAGAAAGGAGAAATAATACTCATAATGGCTCCAGTTGTGCGAGTAATTAGCATTCGGAAATAATTGAAATTTTCCGATGTGCTGATTTTTAGGTCTTGTCTCTGCACAGGAACTGGTGCAGTTTTAGGTTTTTCATTTGATTTATGAGAGTTCAATGGAAATCAGTGTAGGGCCATCAGCGTAAATCAGTTTAATCAATTATTTTTTTTGTTTATCCATAGATGGTAAATATTATTTCCTATATTTATTTAGAAATGTAACAATAAGTGCATATTTCAAAAGTTATTTATTCTTAAAGACTCCAAAAATATGAGAATTTATATCCTTTGGTAACATATGACTCAATTTCATTTCTCCCATTTTTATGGCGAATCATTTTTCAATTTTACACCATTTAACTTCCTCGAAAAAAAAGCCATATTACATATAACATGTGTGTCTATTTGTACACCAAAGAAACGGCAGTGAAATTGCAAAATTAATGCCTATCGTGTAAATATAAGGCATTCATATTTCATGACAACGTGCCAAACCTTCAAAAACAACATGAGAAAGAGATGGCACAAACGTGCAAAACAGAGACAGGACGTTAGCGAGCATTTAACTTAATGGGTCGTGTCTTTATGATTTCTGTCTGCTTGTCAATATATTTATGCATTATTTATATTTATTTTTATATACTTTATAATAACTTATTGTACTTATATTATTTTAAATAATTTTTATTAATATTTTAAATTGTATTATAAAGAGTATGTAGTATGTCCTCAAGACCTCAAAACAAAGTTCATAATATGAGGGATTAACAACTTTTTTTGTTTAAATCACCACGTCGTACTATTTATTATTGGCATTTGTTTAACTATATTTTTTACTATCAATTGCCAAATGGATGTGATAAAAATGTGAAACAAAACAATAGAGCCATTCGCCATGCAATAAAATTTATTTATTTACCATTTATACATTATACTATATCGTAGTTGAGGACACTTCCTGTTATTGCTTTCGATTTTGTGGATTTTTATACATTTTTTTTGTCGTAGTTGGGTCAACTTGAGCACCGGCGATTCGATAGTTTAAACTGCAATTTTATGAAGCGTTAACAGGGTATTACATTTATGTATGTTTCCACCCACAATCCGCCCAAAAGATTTAGTTATTGTTGTTTTGCAGATTCGACAATTTATTGAAGTAGAAAAAATGCAATTTCATGGCAAATTTGTTTTTGGGGCGAGCAGCGTTTAGTAACGCTGGACAGTAAAGTTAATTGGAAGCCCTATCAAGAAAGTCGGAACAATCCGAAATGGAGTTTCTTTTTTTCCATCAGACAATGGGTGCTGGGTGCCACACCTCCCCCCACACACATATCTGATAATTTGCGCATTTTATAGTTTGTTGCATGGTAGTATTTGGGGACATTCGGTTTAATTGCTTTTTTCCCCTTTATTTTGCATAATTAGAATTTGATAAAATGTACCAATGGCTTCTAAATGCAACACATCCCGCCCATTGCATGTTGCACGTTGGCTGTTGCATGCTGGGGCGTACTGCCTTGCTGTGCAAATTCGATTTTAATAATACGAATTTATCTCTGATCAAATTTTGTGGTTGCTGAAAATGTGTTGCACACTTCTCGGCGCCCCGTTCCAATTTTCATTCCCTCCCTGGTAACCCTAGGATTCCCCAGTAAATTAAATTGGTTTTTAATAGGCAAACGATGCGTTTTTGCCTTTACATCGTTTGGCATAGATTGATTTGGCAGTTAACAAACATTTCTGCCCTCCTGCCCATTTTCAACACCCCGGCTCGAGTTGAGAAAACATCAAAAGTTCTCGGGAGTAATAATTTCAGCAATTGCCATATTTGTAACTCTGTCAGCGCCCTGGAGAAAATTGCCTGGCAAGTGGAGCTTAGCTGTCGGGCTGATCGCATTTTAAGCTGACATCCAACCGACCCAGGCCACCCATCCTCCGGGTTCACAACTCAGACAGTCATCTGCATTTCCTTGGCTGACTTTTCCGCTTCCAATTGCCTTCGAAATTGTATTGACAGTCGTATCTGGTTCGGTTTCTTCTATCCTTATATCCTTGTGCGTGTTTGTTGCGGAGGGTCCTTTTCTTGCCCCCCCACTTGCTGATGCGACAAATTGACAGGCGAACTGGATAGAACCCAATGGCAGACGAATTTGTTAATAATCTGGCATATTTCACATGGGTCTTTGACATTTCAAAGCGTGCTTACGTCTCGGGTTTTCTAAATTAGCTGGAAATGAGAATTTTCAATTAATTTTCGTTGATTAGTATTACTTTTTATGCTCCAAACGTCATTTGTGGAATAAAAAAAAATATTCTTGGGTGCCATATTTTAATTTAGATTTACAGGAATTTAAAATGTGTCATTTATCACATAAGGAGAAGCAGTAAAAATTAGTATGAGGGCGAGGCGAAAATATCGAAGAATTTTGAAAAGTGTGAAAAATTCTTACAAGCTGACCAGAATTAATACAAAAATAAGACATCTTATTTCTTTGGAAAAAGTCTTGGCTTCGGCGTTCGAGTAGTTGGATTTATGGAAACTGGAATCTTAGATACTTCAATTATAGCCCTTGGAGTGCGTTGTTTCTCTTCTACTTTTTCATTGGAATTTTAAGTCCGTCCTCCAGGCGGTGTTACAAAAATCTAAAGTTTCCTGTTGGTTTTTGATTATTTGTAGGTTTGTTAGAAATTTCAAAATTTAAATGCTAACCACTAATTTATAAACAGCTTGTTCCAGCTCATCGCCATATTCATTATCGCTGTCCGGATCAGGGTTGCCGAGAAGGCGCCTACGACTCCTCTGTTCGATTTTTTTATCCACAAATTTTTCTATTTGTAGGCGCGTCTCTAATAATTTATGGGTCATCTTTAACCTTAGCTCCTGTAAGAGTCGTGATTCCATCAAATTATTATTTCTGAATTTATTTAAATCTGAAAAGTTGGTTGCCATTTCATTCTTACCTCAATATTCTTATTTTTCTTGTACACCCAGTATATCATAATCGCATTTGACATCATAGATACTACAATTATTATAAGTAAAGTCATGTGTTTTGTGTATAAATCATCAAAGGTCAGCCACATTTGCTCCAAGACTTTCAAGAATTTCTCGCAAATCCAAAAGCCCTTACAAATACATGGGTTTGGCATTATGCTGCCGGATACTTTCAACTGATGAGTGATAGAAAGTGATTTAGCTGTATGTATATTCTTTAAGTTTTTCCGGAGAAATTTACCCTTGTATACACGTTCCGTATGGCAATCGAGTTAGAAGTAAAAAGTCACTACAGCTGACATTGACCTTTAAAGTTGAAACTAAAAGGAGCTCCTACTTTGGTCAGAAAAATATTCATTACACCTTTTATTATTTATTAAACTAACTAAAATAAATAGGCCTAGATAAATACGTTTTTCAATGAAAAATATTTTTCACATATTTCATTGTTTAAGAAAAAATACAAACTCTACGCCATTTACTGTTCTATTGTGCGGCAATATTTAAAAAGCCCACGATATATTTTATTTACAAAAATATATGGTTTTTTCCCTCTGCTCTGAGGCATGTAAATTATGATTCAATTAATAAATTCTCGTTGCGAACTAATTTGCGTGCCCAAAAGGGTGATAAAGCCAACTCACACCCTGCTGGGTTTTTTCCCTCCAGTCCATTCGGTAAAATGAATATGAAAGATATGTTTATGCGTTAAAAATCCGTGAAAATCCAACGGCAGCAACAATAAAGCTCGGCGTTGGAAAAATCTCGTACGGTTGTTAAAATTTTCACCAAGCGCGTTGCAATTGCGAAAAAGTGGGAGGCGAAAAAATAAGCTGAAGCCTGCCTGCTCCACTAGGGGCTGAGCATTCATTTTTTATGTTTATTGTCGCTTATCGCTTGCCGGCAAGGGGCGTGGCCATGAGGCGGGGGTGTCATTAGGATCTCGGCGCCAAGATGAAAAAGAGTAAACACGGCTATGAAAAAACGTTAACAACTCTCTTGGGGCCCAGGGAGTATACACAAACGCATAACACACACAATCTTTCAGTATCTATCTGAGTGTGTGCGCTTGTGAATGTTGGTTGCATGTAACTTTATTAGCTGTCTCCCCAGCGAAGGGTGTGTGGAGTTATGGAAGCGACAGGGGACCTGCTCCACACCTGACACTATGAATCTCGTTCCCCCACTCCCCTGCCTCGCGTGTAAAATTAGTTTGGGTCACAGATTTGGGAAAAACGGTTCACCAGATTTAGATTAAAACAAATGAAGTCAGGTGGAAAATATAGGAGGCCAGTTGAGTAGAAAAATTCTAAAATTGTCAAAAAGGTTGTCTTTGCCGGGAGTCCATTGTCCTTTTATTATGGGTTTTCCAAAATTTTAAAAGGTATCCTCCAGAAAATTTGACAAAAAATCTAAAAAATATTTTCTTGGTAGATTTTGATGCAGATTGGTGGAGAATCCGAATACAAATCATTTGAGGTATTCCGCTTAAGAATCGGATGATTTTTGCCAAAGATATGGTCTTCACTTGAGCTCATATGACCCTTCCATGGATTTTCCAAAATTTTGAAGGGTACCCTCCAGAAAATTTGGCAATAAATCTAATAAATATTTTGTTGGTAGGTTTCGATGCAGATTGGTGGAGAATCCGACTACAAATCATTTGAGGTATTCCGCTTAAGAATCGGATGATTTTTGGCAAATATATGGTCTTCGCTAAATAAGAATAGGTTTTTATACCCTTGCAGAGGGTATTATAATTTTGGTCAAAAGTGTGCAACGCAGTGAAGGAGACATCTCCGACCCTATAAAGTATATATATTCTTGATCAGGATCACTTCCTGAGTTGATATGAGCATGTCCGTCTGTCCGTCTGTCTGTTTCTACGCAAACTAGTCTCTCAGTTTTAAAGCTATCGACTTGAAACTTTGCACACACCCTTTTTTCCTTTGCACGCAGTATATAAGTCGGAACGACCGGAATCGGCCGACTATATCCTATAGCTGCCATATAACTGATTGATCGGAAATGGTCTAAATTTGGTGTTTTTAGAGTTAGAGAGTTCCAATTTTACATGAGCGCTATTTTTGGCAAAATAATACGACATGCCAAATTTCGTAAGGATCGGCCGACTATATCCTATAGCTGCCATATAACTGAACGATCGGAAATGACCCAACTTTCGTGTTTTTGAAGATAGAAAGCTGGAACTTAGTACTGATTATATTTTTGGTCAGATCATCCGACCTACCAAATTTTACAACGATCGGCCGACTATATCTTATAGCTGCCATATAACTAAACGATCGGAAATGGTTTTTGGTAGAAATACCAACTTTCGTATTTTTGAAGATAGAAGTTTGGGACTTTTTTTAGATTTTTTATTTTAGTTAATTAGTTTTATTATGATTTAATCATAAGGATCGGCCAACTATATCCGATGTTTGCGATATATATCCGGTTTTAACTGCAAGGGTATATAAACTTCGGCTCCGCCCGAAGTTAGCTTTCCTTTCTTGTTTTTTTTAGAAATGAGATGACCTTTGCTATACGCTATATACATATACATACATATATATACATATACATATACATATATTTCAAAGAAATAAATTCCAATTACCTAAAAAGGTCTATTTTTTAATGAAAGAGGCAGAAAAAGGCACGGAAATGCATAATTTTTTGCTACGCAATATATATTCCATTTCGGAACGCTAGCATTTTCTTTAATATTTTTGCAAATGATGCCGAGAAATCTCGGAACGAGCTCGCACCTCACCGGGGTCATTTAAATGCAGATTGCAATGAGCCGTCTGTCCACTTGAGAGCCGCCATTTGCATAATGGCGGCGACATATTGCAACGGAACCGGAAACCCGATCCCACCATCATTTCTGCAAGGGAAGCGAGGCCCTTACAGTTGCAGCTGCAGTTGCAGTTGCAGAGGTGCAGGTGCTCGAGTCGTGTTTATGACTACTTGAGATTGCCGGCAGGCATCCTGTCGTCGGTATGTCGTCGCTGTCCGTGGTAAACGGAAGCTATTCGCAATGCCGGCCATCGACCATTTCGGGTTCCCCAAATAAACCATCCCCACTACGATGCAAAGACCCATAAACTAGATTGGACATCTTGCTAGGTGTCTGCATATAAAACCTACCATGGAAATGAGCATAAAGGACGTCTCATCAAATAAGTAATGCATGTCATTTGAGATTTTTCTTAATGAGACAAGAATTTTATTATTAAATAGATGAATTTTTTTTTCTGTTTAAGGTCCCTGTCAAAATTTTCAAATATATATTCAGGCTTTATTCTTAAATGGAAAAGGACTCTGCTCATCCCCTTGGTTTCCCTGTTTTTGGTGAAATGCTTATGTTGCCACATCGCAGCAGGGCGCACGCATGACCCTAACCCACACAAAACCCACACAAATGCACTCTTACTTACACACACCCATCACACTCGCATACATTGGGAGGACGCAAAAGGTGCAGCTGTTAGTTTTGGGTGAAAGGATAGAAACGGTGAGGGGTGTCAACCAGTGTCAGTTAGGGTAGGTGTGTGGGCGTTAAAGGGGGGCAGCAGCTGGGCCATCTATCTGGGCACTGAAAAATATTTTCAATAAAATACTTAGATTATTTTCATATTTTTTTTTAACTAAATAAGAAGTTAAAATTGTGCCTCATACAAATTTGTACGGATTGTATACATTTATTTGTTTTGTTTTCGGTGTAGAAATTGGTTCCGGCTGAGCTTTTGTTACTGGTGTGGCATAAATATCGTTGCGGTTGCACGTGAAAATTGCATTTGGCCAGCATTTGGCTGCTGCTCGGATAGTTCCACTTGAAGTGCTGGCGGAGCGCAGCGGAGGACATCGAGTGGCGTTGGTTGGGCTGGTGGGGCTGTGGCTGCGGCCCTTACACGTTGTGCAAATTGTGGACTTAAATGTTTATAACGCACCCGATCTGCTCCATCCACCAAGGCACCATCACGTGTACCACCGGCAGAAAACGCACCACCACACCCCCAGCCACTTCGAGACCATTTTCGGCGTTTGTTTATTAAGCTTTTCAGGCGGTGGGTGGATGGGTGGGATGGGGTGTCGGCAATAGAAAACGCAAAAAAAAAGGTGTTGAATGCCACTTGCTGGGGCTGCTTTTTATTGCCATCGCACATCTAAGTGCAGCAGCTGTAAAATAAATATATATTTTTATTTTATCCCCCCCCTCAAGCCCTAGCATTTTTTTCACTTTTATTTGTTGTAGTTGGCAGAGGATATAAATTAAACGCATTAGAGTAGGAAACCACAGCGATTTTCCTCTACTGGCGTTTTTTTTTTTGCTTTTTCTCTAGCTGAGGCATTAATTCGCTTTTGCAACCGACAAAGGCACTTAACGTCCTTCTACTTTTTTGCTGCCGTCGCTACCATTCATCCTCCTTCAGTTTTCCATCGAAGTGTATACAAAATTTAAATAAGAAACAAATCGAAGTAATGGCCAAGTCCTCGCCACCCCCGATTCCTGCCACCTATTCCTCTAGTCTAGGTAGCTACCAAATACCAAATGCTCAAATGCTGTAAAAAGCAATAGAGAAATTGGAGAACGCAGACAGACCTCTTCACATAATGAAAAAATAAAGGAAACCGAAAATCCAATGAAATGAAACTCATTGAAGCATTTTCGGGTATTGCGAGTAAAAAGCAACAGAAATTAATGACACGATACTGTTTCCATCAAACACGTTTTTTACCTGCCATTAAAATGTAGAAAAAGGGTTATAAAATATTCAAATTTAATTCATTTCAAAAGCAATAAAATATTTCAAAAATAAATGTGGATAGTAAAGGGTCTCTTTTTAAAGAATGTTAATAAAATCTGTAATAAATATTTACTTTAATATTTAAAAGTAGTTTACAAAAATTACGGAAATAAAAATGACATTAATTTGGTATAAACCACTGATTTAAGAGCCCTTGAGAGCCATTCGCCTTTATCCTGCTTGAATGGCTGCAGAGCTTAGGGCCAAGCTCTTAAATAGAATGACTAACCATCTTAATCACATCGCAGATACAGATACCCAGGGATACGGATACGTAGATACTTTTTTTGTGCACCATCTGGTGGAGGAACTAAACGTTTGCCGACATTTCGGCAGCTGTCAGTTGTTTGCCACTAAACGCTTACAACCAGCAAATAAAGTGGTGGGTGGCAGACAAGTGAGTACTCTACAGAAAAAAAAATATAGGAAAAAAGGAATGTTGAAATTTTTATATAATCAAATGGTAGCCAAAAAACAGTTTTGCGGCCATGGGGCGGACGTCTTCTTCGGGCTTCCTTCCGCATTTCTTACTCCCTTTTTCTTTGTTTGTTTTCATTTTGTCTTGCACTTTGCATACAAAGTGCCGTTAACTACTGGCATCAGTTTTTCACACAACAACCGTTGATGGTCTGGCGGTTTTTCCACAGATTTTCCTTACAGGATACCCAACTAAGTGAGACGAAAGCTAACAAAGTGCCAAGTGCTCTTGACCAAGCTGCATTGGCTTAAATTTAATTCATGGAATAGTATTTCAATTAATATATGTAGCTGCCAAAGCTATTTTGAAATATACTTTTATATTTTTTATATACAATTTTAAATATTTTTGTCACTACCATTTTTTAATCCATCATTTCATCCTTCAAAATGGAATATTTTACGACCAAGGGAATGATCGTTGAGAAAATTTGAAACTTGCAAATATTACGACCACCACCATCATAACAATAAAACATATAATTATTACAGTGCAAAGAAATGTCTTTTCCGTCAAATTCCTGAAGAAAATGGAATGAAATTATTTAAAAAAATTATTTTAGAAACAGGGCTTACCATTGAGCAATGCACATATGTATTCAGAAAAGGTTTCAAAATGTTTCAAGGATTTTTAAAATGTTGCGTGGTGACGGACAATACTATGGATAAATTCTTTTATGAAATAAGTAACAATATGTTGAGGTTTTAATGTACTTATGTTCAGATGTATGATGGTAGAATTTTAAATTAAAAATTTTGACCATTATGTGAAGGAATGTAGCCACTCCAAGAGTCATCTAAATAGACAAGCTAGCTTTTTCTTGTTGAAATCTGAAAAGAAATGAGTATTTTAAAGCTAAAGTACTAAAAAACAAATAGACTTACAATAAAGAGCACATATGTAAACGGATAAATTTTTTTCCTGGCCAAACCGAGTGTTTTTGACACAAAAGTCGAAGTCAAAATTTAATCTTTTTAAATAGTGTCGATTAGCTTATGAAGAAAGGCTCTCATTCTGGATGGTTCGCTTGTGGTTTCCAAAAGGTCCTTCATAGCTTTAACAGTGTTGCCCATTTCGGTGGTTTCATCAGCTTTTGTTGTCTCCCCCGATTTGTTATAGAAGAAGCAAAAGTATATAACTAAACCAATTATGATCAGGACACCGACAAACGAAAACGCAAATGAGATGATACACTTTAGTCCCGTTGTGCAGCAGCTAAAAGAAGGTCGGTTTTTCAATCGGTAGGACTCTAAAAAAAGGTAAACTTACCAACATAACAATCGACACATATCTCCTGTAGACTGGAAATTTCCTTGCAAGTCGTAGCAAGTTTTTAAAATGAAAATTATGACTGAAAAGGCTTTGGGAGGCTCGGGCATATGCTCTGGGGTAAAATGACATCAATTTTGGCTTATTACTTTCGCAAAACAATTCGAATATTTGGGCCATAAAAATGATAACCACATCCCCTTGTCCCATAAGCATATTTTGGCTTTCAAGAAAATTATATTTTATGCTATTTTCTTACGAAAATTTGTTCTTTTATTGCCTCCGTACTGCCCGCAACTTCGATTAACCTAAGCCGGCATAAGGGTTGGAGTCTCTTCCTTGAATTGTCGTCGAGAGCCGTAGGAAAATTTACAGAAATAAAATGGGAAAAAAAGGCAAACATTCAAAGAAAAGTTAGAAAGGCAAAGAAAAGAGAAATGCTCTTTCTTGCCGCATAATCGAAATGTATTTTGGCTTTTTATTGCGTTGCCAAAGGTAAGTCGATTGGCCAAGAGTAGCTGCCAGGCTGTGGGTGTGCGTGGGCGTTTTGTGCGGGGCGATAACAACATTTTAACGCCTTATGGTCCATTTAGGTAAAAGTGCCGATTACGCCGAGCTTAACCAGAAATTATTACCTCAGAGACGGCTGTTTTGTGGTGCTTTAAGCTGAGGCATGGAATCTTACAGAATCTGCGGGCTTTAGGCTCAGGAGTTTTTTAATAAATGCTATTACATTTTTACAATTTTAATTCAAGCAGTGACTAGATTTTAAGAGAACTTGCCGCGGCAAACATCAAAAATCTACAGCTGCTGTGGAAACTTCGGCATCAATTATTGTTCTGGTCACGGCTGTGCTTTATGTTTCAGCCACGAGGCGTATACGCAATTTATTTGCATATGATGACCGGCATTGTGGAAAAATTAATGAAAGGGCAATTAAAAACATTCGCAGCGGCAATAATAAAATGTATGCCAAATGCAAACAAAAAGGCTGCTCTTTTAAAATTTATCCACTTTCTGATACCAACTGTCAATGGCGAATAAATATTGCTGGGAATTTGCGAAATTTACAATATATTGTCATAATAATCAAATGATTTCATTTCTGTTACAATCGCAATTTAATGCCATTTGTTTGTGAAATCTGTATGCCTATGAAAATTGAATTTTACTTTATTTTCGATTTTGTTTTATTTCTGGTTGCGTTGGCTGGCGTCGAAGATATGTATTTTGTGTTGGGCTCTCTGCTGAAAGTTAAATTGAATTTGTTTTTGGGTGTTTTGGATTCCTTTGCAATCAATTGCCATGACAAATGCTTCTAGTATTGTTTCTATTGTCGCTTCTGCTTGCAGTTCGGCTTGCATTTGTCAAGTGGCTTTACACTTTCCAAGGGGGTCAATAGGTTACTTGGTAAGATATGGTCTGGATGGTTAGGATATCATATCAACCAGCTACTTATAGTATTCGAGTGGTTTATGGTTTCAATTGTCTGATATATTTTGTAGCAATATACCCTTATGGTAGAGTAGAGTACAAGCTATTTCTTTTTGTGGACTTCAGTTTTTATCCCCGGAAAAAAAGGGGAAACGGTCTGTGGGACAACTGTGCTCTGCGTCGGGAATCTTGTGCATTATTGCGATTTTACACGCTGCTGCACTCGAAAATGAAACGGACAATAAGCTCCACTTGCCTGTTGGCCGATGGCCGTCCGCTGTTGGCGGTGGGCGTCATGACGGTTAGTGGTATGGGGGGCGTGGCGGCAATGGGCAAGACTTACGGCAAAACAGTAACAGCATCGTTGGCAGCAGCAACGCTCTGGCCATCATTGCCACTGTCCGCCGCTAAAAGCTTTTTGATTATGAAAAATGTTCGAAACATATGCTCCAAATGACTGTGAAGCGTGCGAAGAAAGTTTCTCCTCTTTCTCTGCCTGTACTTTTTACAGTGCATCAGCGTAGTATACGTACCTAGGATATAGTATATGTTCTACACGTACTCAACATTGTGTAAGTAAGCATGTTTTATTTCGCTGCAGCTTTGTTGGCTCTTCTCGGTCTTGTTTATTGTGGCTATGCACTTTTTTAGTTGTTATTGCGAGTGGACTTTCCCCGGCTGCTATTGTTAATGGTTGTGCCATTTTATTTTAAAATTAATAAAGTGGCCAAAGCCATTGCAAATTGCAAAACAAACTTCGTTGGCTTGGATTGTTGTGGCAAGAGTCGTTTGGTTTTTTGCTGATTTCTGCCAACGAAACTGCGTTTTTTACTTATTTCACAAACTGTTTGGGGTACTAATGCATTTTTGAAAACACTCCTAGATTTATGGGGGATTTTCTTTACAGTAGATTTCATAGCTTAAATATACATTTTTAATTAGGACTTCATTCTTGTTGTTTACTGCAGCAGGTGAGGTCTTTATAATTTTCTGTAGTTTTATCTATTTTTTAAAATTTGTAGCCCCATGCTGAGACCATCAGTTGACAGCTTGTTCATCATCGAACATACTTGCCACTTAGTGAGCAATTAGGAAGCCGAGTGTTCAGGGATCATTATAAATCAACGAAATTCTTCTCCAATGCGTTGGCAATCGGGAGCCGAGTTCCCAGCAAGTGCATTAGCCTTTCCCTAGGAGGCAGACCAACTCTGAGATAGATGACATCGACGAGATCCCCCCGATCGGAGGGGCCAGACACGTAACCGTAGCTGCACTATCCGAATAAAAACTACACATACAAATAGGTGCATGTTGCCGGAACGAAAAAAACACACACTGGCTGGGTTAATTATTTTCTTTTTCTTGTTGGTATTTTTAGTAACCAACGCAGCGCTGCAAGAGAGATGGCTAGATGGTGAGTAATAGAGATGGGGAGCATGAGATCGGTTTATGATATTTTTAAACGATAAAAACGCACCAACGACGGAGTCAAGTGCACTGAGTGCTCTGCTCTGCATTGGCATCAAGTGTCCGGGGGCATCAGTCGCCCAAACATCGGACCAAATGAAGCCATTAGCAGCCGGGGAGTTCATCCCCAAATATAGACACACACCACTCTCTCTAGGAGTTGGGTTGCCTCCCAAACTCCTCCGGCTGATGGCTGATCTCAAGTTACACGGATCTCCCAGACTGTTGGCGAAGGTATTTTTTCTTCAACATTGTCTAGGGTCTTTCTTTATTAAAATGACTATTTTATTCTTTAAATCCTCAACTAAGGAATAAAATTATCTTAAACGTTAAAAAACGATACTTTAATTATTTGTTTTATTTTTGTGATACTTTTAAAAATATTTCTTTATAAAGCACACCAGACAGATAGGTCAATTACGGCCGTAGGCTTAGTACATGTGTCGCATTCGCGTTTTGCAACCAAAGTTGCCGAAACTTCCAAGTGTCTACTAGGCGGCTTGGGGATTCCCGTCACGATTTAGCATTTTTCATCAGCTCAGCGATTTTCATGTCACGTTCTCGCTGACAAAGTTTTCGCCCAACCCCCCGTCCTATAACACCCAAGTTCTGCTTATCCTGGCGCAAAGTTTCCGTGTTTTCTGCGGCCATATAACCATATATATCTATATACAAAGGTATATACATAGATATATACATATATATATATATATTTATGTAGGTATAATTCCCGTATTTGCACTTTGGCAAGTCCTGGTTTTTGTCCCTTTTTAGTCAACTGGCTGGCATGCAGTTTGTTTGTTTGTTTGCTGCTGCAAAGTTTGCCAGCTTGATGTTTAATTGTTATTTTGTGTCCCTCAATATGTATTTGGGGTGGAAACTTAAGTATGTCTGATTTCATTTCGAAGTTGTTCCTCCGAAAGTTTCCAGCTGTCTGAAGGGTATTACTTCTTGTAAGATTTTGGAGCTTTATGGTTTGCAAGGGAGCTTTGCAATCATCTTTAATATTTCATCATTTTTTTTCTTTTTTAGAACTATTTTCTGCGAAATCTGAGTAATATTAATATACTTTTGTATTTTTGCAAACACATCTGTTTTCTTTTAGTCTCTTGTTTAGTCATTTGAATTTTCGCTGTTCTGCTAGTTTTCATATTAATTTTTGCATCTGTGTGAGTTAGTGCTTAGCTCCTCCCCAGCCCCCTGCCCACTCAACCTAATACACAGACACACAGCATCCAAGCGGACACACTGAAATGTAGCTGTATCCACTTGCGAGCGATTTGAAAGCGTTATTTATTTGTGGCACAAGCGACCATATTTCAAACGCACACCGCACCACCCCACCGCCGACCCGTTGTTGCCGCGTCACCGGCACCAGCACCGGCACCAGCACCGGCACCGCCATCGCAATCGCCAAGTTGAAAAGTCGACAAAAATACAAGCAGACAAGCAGCACATACGAGGCGGAAAAATTGGCCAAAACGGCGAATATCTAATGCGCTGAAATGTAAAAAAAATAGTGAAATGTATCTTAAGAATGTATAATATTTTTTGTCTTAAAATAGATTGTCATATTTTGTAGAAAAAGTTTTTTTTTAAATTTTTAACATTATTTTTACTCTTATTACATTTTTAAGGTTTTATGCTCAAATATTATGACTATTACTCATTTTGATTCCTTGTAAAATTAGGTTTTTATAATTTTGGTATATTCGTTGTTAAAATTTCATCACAAAAACTATTCTATAGAGTCTAAAAATGGTCAGATAAATTTTTCGAAAATTCCCCTTTACTTTTTTAGTGTGATCCTTGGCAGCCCCCCTTTGCCTAATACCCCAAAACTTTTTCGCACTCGCAGCTGTTTGTTGCTTTTTCCATTGTTGTAGTTGGCATTCTTCCTTTTTTTTTTTTTTTTTAAATATATTTCTTTTTTTTGGTTGTGTTTTTAAAACTTAACGTGTGTCGCACAAAGGTGCAAGTGCGCGAGTGTGTGTCCGTGTTTGTGTTTCTCGTATCACACGCTTGCAATGCTGCTGCTGTTGCCTCTTGATATTTGGCTCAGACTGAGCCACGCCCCCTTCTCCCCAAAGCCCGCCATTCGGCCCCTAGTTGTTGTAGTAAATTTATGCGCTTTCATTTTATGAAAAACTTTTGCAATAATTTCTCAAAACGTTTTTGTGGTGAATTGAAATGCGAGAAAAACATTTTGCGGATGGCGACTAAAAA